CAAACAATAGGTAATAGGCAAGTGAGAATGGACCTATCAACCCGGATCCTGTCTGACTCTCCTTCTATCTCTCCGTGGAGATGGGGTATGTCAAATGGGAGAGACACGAGGGGTGGAGGGTGGACGTTGAGGTGATGGGGCATCCGCTAGGCCCAGTTTGGCCAAGATTGCTCTACCTTCAGAAGGAGATGTAGCTATATATGTGCTCCCATTATGTGGAACAATCAACTTAAAGGGAAAGCCCATTTGTAGCGAATCCGAGCTGAGAACAGGACCGTTGTGACTTCTTTCATTTTTCTACGCTTCTCCAACGTGGCCGGGGAAACATCCGGAAAGATTTGTAAGACCGAGCCTTCAAAGGAGATCGTAGGGGTATTGCGAGCAGCTCTGAGTATTTCCTCTTTGGTCAAAAAGTCCCTCATGCACAGGACAATATCCCTAGGTGGCTTGTCAGTAGGAGGTTTAGGGCGTAGGGCTCTATGGATGCGGTCACAGGCAAAAGACCCAGGGTCACGATCCGGGAGGAGTGATTGAAATAATTTGGTCACGATTAAGGAGAGGTCAGACATAGACTCCGGGATTCCCCTGATTCGCAGATTATTCCTGCGATTGCGATTATCAAGGTCCTCCACCTGCGCCTGTAGTTGAGAAAAGGCCGTTTGTAAATGATCATGCTCTCTGGAAAGTTCACCATAGGCCAGGCTAAGTTCATCGTGTTTGGTTTCTAAGCGGTCTGTCCTGGAGCCCAATGTGGCTATTTCCTGAGAGAGAACATTGGTGCTTTTATGCAACTCTGATTGAAATTTGGCGGCTAGTTTGGCGTACATAGATTCCAAGCAGGACTCCAAGTCCCCTTTTGTAAGTTGCTGTGTATTTTCACTGACCAAGGCCGATAAGGGAGCGGTGGTATCCTGCGTGGGATCGGACAGGGATGCTCGCTCTGTATTGACTGGAGACATGTTACAAAGTTTGTGTGCCTTAAGTAGGTATGTTGTGAGGGACTTCTGGGCTTGTCCCTTTTTTTTCTTTGTGGACGGCATACAGGGAGTCTCCTGGGGGTGATCAACTGAAAATAGGATAAGGAATGGAGATTATAACCCCAGGGGACCTATAACGCCCAAAATAGGTTCAGGGTTGTAGTTACATGAATGCGGTTAGATTCATCTGCGAGAACATTATATTGTAAAGATAATTAGCAAGTCATGGAGAGGTAGAGAGGACATAGATCACAGTAACACGCAGATATAGCACACCGGAGCAGGATGATGGCACCAGATCCCAATCTAGGACACAAGAGGGACAAGTGGGAGGCAGAGGACCCCCAACACCAAGCACAGGGCCCTCCAGGGAGACACTCCACGGGTAATATCAAGGCCCCAGTAGGCCTCTGAGCCCAACAGGGGCTGTGGGTACAGGAGATAGCAGGCTCCGGGGTCAGCAACGTGAGGCCCACTCCCAGGTCACTGCGGGGGGAGCTAATAATAAGAGGGCACCTGCATCCCCCACTCACTGTGACCAGATGGAGGCTCCAGACCGGTGATGTAGGCCGCCGCCACCGCGGGAAGCAGCAAGGCTCAGTGGCGTCTCTCCCCCAGTCCCAGCAATGCAGAGGGCGCCGCGGATGTTCCCAGGCGATCTCCCACAGCCCGGATGGCAGCAGGTGTGGATGGGAGAGCTGATGGGTGGCGCCGGAGCCCCGGCCCGCGCGGCCGCACCAGGCCGCGGACGTCAGCCGCCACGAGGGGCGGAAATATCACTCGGGCCCCGACTCCCCGGGACCAAGGATACCACCCGGGTCCTCCGCCGGCACTCTATGATCCGCTGCTGCACGGATGCAGCGGACTTAAAAGTTCGGCACCGGATGGTAGCAGGTGCGGATGGGAGAGCTGATGGGCGGCGCCGGAGCCCCGGCCCGCGCGGCCGCACCAGGCCGCGGACGTCAGCCGCCACGAGGGGCGGAAATATCACCCGGGTTCCGACTCCCCGGGGTCAGGGATACTACCCGGGTCCTCCGCCGGCACTCCGTGACCCGCTGCCGCTCGATGGCCGTGGATCGAAAAGCACGGCACCGGAGCTCCGGATTATGCGGCCGCTCCGGTCGCCATCTTGGACACGCCCCATGAGGGTGCATTTCTTTAATGGGGAAGAGGCAGAAATGAAATCTCACCACTCTTTCCAAAACTTAAAAAAAAAACGTTTTGCTTTAGTTATACGTTAACATGACTATCATACAGAATAAATTTCCCAACTTGGTGACAAACCTTTCTTGACTCTACCTGTTCACACAGAAAGAAGTCGGTTTTTTAAGAAGAAAAAAAGGCTTTAAGTAGTTAAATATCTATTTCATACAAAAAAGAATCCATAACTGTATGATATTAATGTTCATGAATCAAATGTTTTTATTATTCACAAAAGTAGCAAATGCAGTTAACATACAGCTTAGAAAATTAACCTTTTTGTCTCTAAAAGAGAACCTCTGCTTTCTGCAGCTAGCAGTACCAGGCTGATGTATGTATAGTGGATAAACTTCATTGAGTAGCGTAATGGAAATGAACGGTTTTCCAGGAATAGACTAGAAAAGAACACAGCGGGTTTTTTTACGAGTGTAACATAACATTACCTTTCATGAGTTCTTGCAAAGCGTGTACTGATTTTTAGGTTCTGATTTTTCTTTTCAAATATTGTACTTTGTCCAAGTCACATTCTGTGCTGCTAACACTGTTGATTTGTCATGTAGGTCGAACATCCACCACCACTACCACGGTTTTAGATGGCAAAAATGGATCCATTCACAAACCACCAATCAAGATGACAAAATCAGTTTCTCAGGACCTCAAGACAACATTCAGCTCCCCAGCGGCATGGCTTCTTGTTGTTGCCCTTATTGTGACTTGGTCAGCAGTGGCCATTGTAATTTTTGATTTAGTGGACTACAAAAGTTTTTCAGGTAGGAATGGGTTTTTCTGGTAATCTAATGCAGGATTAAAAATTAAAATTGCCCTCCTGTAAGTGTTTGTCATTCAGCTTTGTACAGCATTATGCTCTTTGTAGATTATCCAGCCTTCTCCTTTTTAGTGTTGTCTCCTGGTAAAAATGATAATAAAAATGTATTGTATGTAAAGAAGTATATCTTATATGGTCATAATGGGAGGGGGGACCGATAGTGGGATTAAACCACACCAGATTCCAGGGCTAGAATATGGGCCAAAGGGTTTTAAAAATAGGGGGGGGGGGGGAGTGAAGGAGGGAAGTTGGGGAGGGGTAACTGGGGGATGGAGGATGGGTGGTAAAGGTCACTCTGAAGATATTTTCTTGTTCCAAACTTTACACATACGCGCTCCTTTAAGTTGGTATACGGACAGAGGAGAGAGTTAGTAGTAGGAATGAATGTGAGTAATTTAATGACATATAATGTGAAAGGTCTGTACACTCTGACTAAAAGGCAAAATATCCTCAGGGAAATTCTTCAATGTTCCATTAATGTAGTGTTTTTGCAAGAGATGCATCTATTGCAGGATACAAATGTTAAGCTAAATAATATCCAATGTAGTATTATGCACACTCACCAGTTAAATGTGCAAAAGGGGTAGCAATTGCACTAGTAAAAAATGTAGGATTTATTATAAAAGATAGATTGGTGGATCCAGCAGATCCTTTTTTTTTTTTTTTTTTTTTGAAAGTGAAATTGCAAGGAATAGAATGTACATTAGCAAACATTTATTGCCCTAAGAACTCAATGGTATATCTGGAGGGAAAACGTTTAGACTTTAAAAAGGGTCATCTGATTGTGGCAGGAGATTTTAATTTCTGTATGGACCCTTGGATGGATACTTCATCATGGGATCATGGGCACAGAGACGGAGGTAAACATCTAAAGTCAGTTAAAAAAATGCTACATTAGTGTCAACTGATGGACTTGTGGAGAATTAAAACATCCAAGAGACAGAGAATATACCTTCTTCTCTCCAGCGCACAGGATGTAGTCAAGATTAGAATACATAATGACAGAACACAGGTAAATTCCAAAACTGAGGTAATGTCACTATCAGACCATACACCTGTCACAATCGGATTAAGGTTGGGAGGGGAATAGAATAGAAGTAGCATGTGGAGATTAAACAAGATGCTTATGCAGGAAGTTGAGATGGAGAAAAAAATAAAGAAGGAATTAGAGCAATATTTTACACTCAATGAGATGGAAGAGGTATCCATTGCTACAATCTGGGAGCACATAAGATATACATTAGAGGAATCCTAATTTCAATATGGGCCAAAAAAAAGAAACGAGGAAAGAAAATAAGACTATTAACTGAGGAACTACATGACCTAGAACAACTACATAAGGAGAAAATAGAAATAGAGATACAACAGAAAATAACTTAAAAAAGAGAAGAGTTAAAAGATTTAATGGAATATGAAATAAGAGTCTTTACTATGGTAGCAAAAGAGATATCAGTGGGGGAAAAGAGCAGGAAAATATTTAATGAGAAAGCTAAGGGAAAGGAAATCGATAAATTATAAAGATAAATTTAAAGATGAGAATGGAGAAATGGTATATTCAACCACTGATATCGCTAAAACGTTTCAAAATACTCTAATAAATTATATGAAATAAAATCTAAGAAACCAAAAGAAGGGAAAAAGGCAGGTATATTTAAAGGAGGCCCGGACTACCTAGACTAGAGGAAGAGAGATTAGTAGCCTTAGATAAATCTATATCGCAGGAGGAAATTATGCAGCATTAAAGAGTACAGCTGCAGGAAGGAGCCCTGGACCAAATGGATACACGTTGAGATATTATAGAAAATTCAAAGAACAATTTGTGCCTAAGATGTGTATGTACATGAATGCATTAGGAGAGGGAATGGAAATGAGAGGAGCTGCAGCCATATATTACAATCATACCGAAAGAGGGGAAAGACCTGTCCAAATGTGCAAGTTATAAACCCATATCCATATTAACCTCTCTGGCGGTATTCCCGAGTGTAGCTCGGGGTAAAATTTCAGTACCAAGAGGGTAACCCCGAGCTACACTCGGGCTTACCATGCGGTGTTGCTCAGGGAGTTCCTGCAGCGCTTACTTTGTCCTTCGCTCCTGCAATGTGTCCCCTGCAGAGTCCCAGGCCATCTCCTCCGGCCGATGCCGGCTTCCGTGTTCCGGTCCCCGTAACTTGGGACATACCGGGCGCCGGAACCGGCGGCAAATTTAAACATTTTAAAAAATTTAATTTTTTTCTAAACGAATATTACATAGTAAAACATTGCTGTTTCAAACCAATTCACATACATTTTGTCCCTACTGCTTTGTCCTGTGCCCTGCCTGCATTTTGACTGTTCTTTCTTTCTGCCTGGAAACTTAGAAGTCCATGGCGTCCAAAAAGTGTCCCTTTAGGTCAAAATCAGTTTTAGACCGGATAGAGAACAGCGATAGTAAATCAGAACCACTTGCAGAATTGAGTGATAATGATTCGTGGGGAAATTCGTCATCAGACACTGAAAACGATTCTGCGACTTTGCTCAGCGATGTGCGAACTTGGCGCTATATTTCAAATTTCAGTGTTTTTGCTTTGGTTATATTATTGAATTACATTTATTATATTATTACTTTGTACAATTATTTATTAAATTATAATTTATGATTTCGTATTTCAAGTTTTATCATACCCGGAATGTTTACTAGACTCTTGTTCAGACAGATTTCAGTGAGTTATTCCTAAAAATTAACAGCTTACAATAAAAAAAATACATATTTCCATACAAAATAATGGTACCGCTTTCAGCACCAAAAATCTGAAATAATCATACAGCCAGGGAGGTTAAATATAGATACGAAATTATATGCAAAGGTTTTATCAAATAGGATAAGAGAGTTTGTCAGAGTGGATACATTTAGATCAGGTGGGCTTTATTCCAGGGAGGGAGGGAAGGGATAATGGATTAAGATCATTGTTTCTTCTTCACAAAAGTAAGAGAGAATCACCCAGTGTTCTGTCAATCAATGCTGAAAAAGCCTTTGATAGCATAGATTGGGGATTTATGATTGATATATTGGAATCATTAAGAAATGGACCTAAAATGGTACAATTGATAAAAATCTTATATAGTTTTTCATCAGCAGTGGTCAAGGTTAATGGTTCATTGTCACAGTTCTTCAAAATGTACAATGGAACAAGGCAGGGATGTCCATAGACATAAGGAAATTTCTATAGAAGACATGGAACATAAGGTAGCGGCATATGCAGACGACATGTTATTTTATATTGTAAACCCCAGAGTAACCTTACCCAACCTAATGAAAATGTTTAAATATTATTGAGAATTTGAAAATAAACCCCTCGAAGTCAGAGATAATAAATATTAATGTTCCGAAAACAGATATTACAGAAAGCTTTTCCCTTTGTATGGAGGGAAAAGGAATTGAGTTACTTAGGTGTAAAGTTAACCCCTTCCTAAAAAGAACATATATCAGATAAATTACATTCCATTAATAAATGAGTTAAAGGATGAATTGAGGAAAATATCAATAGGATCACTCTCTCAAATTTCATATGCTCCCAATATATGTACGGCGTCATTCTTTGAGAACATAAAAAAGATGATACTTAAAAACATATGGGTAGATAAAAAACCAAGCGTTAACTACGAGGTATTGTGTAAAGATAGAATTAATGGGGGTTTAAATACACCGGATTTTAGGAGATATTATTGTGCGTGTGTTGATTTCATGAATAGCAGATTGGATATATAATTCAAGGGGGAAAAGTTGGGTAATGATGGAAAGCACACAGAGTGAGGCACAATTAAATAACATTATCTGACTTCCACAACAGTTAAGATTTTTTTTCTGAAAATACAAGCACTTTAATACGGAATGTTTTCAGGGTATGGGATAGAATTCATAAACAAAGGGATGGGAGTACAACTCACTGTTAATACCACTGGGGGGAACAGAATTCTTCCCTCTGGGGGAAGAGAATATTGCAGGTAACTGGATAAAAGATAGAAATGCAAGTTTAAAAGATATCACTGATAAAGGGGAATTGTGCACTTTATTAGATTTAAAAAATAGGAAAAGTATTTTTTTATGTTGGATGAGTGGCATTTTTATCAATTAAGACATTTTGTTGCAGCCCTCCTGCAGCCACTATGGACGGTGGAAGACGTATCCATTTGAACAACTTTTTAGTCTGGATACAATGCGAAAACATGTTACCTCCTGCATATATAAGATCCTTACTGGCATACCTGGATCTGTCTCTCCACCGTTTTTGGGAAAAGTGGGAACAGGAGCTTGGAACAAAATTAAATGAACAAAAAAAATAAAAGAAAATCTTTAATTTAACACATGGTGTGGTGGATATGAATACAGTAGAAATTAATTATAAATGCTTAGTAAGATGGTATATTACACCTAGTGTGGCACACAATCAATGACCAGAGAGCTCACTTTATGTTGGAGGGGGTGTGGGATGAAAGGAACATTGGCACATAGATGGTGGGATTGTCCCAAAATACAGGAATTTTGTCAGGGAATAATACAACAAATACAGGATATAATGGGGATTAGTATATTGAAGGATCCTTCGGTCTCTTTGTTTTCTAATTCCGATTTCACGTTGAAACAATAAAAGAACATGATGATATTTTACTTAAACGCGGCAAAAGGATTTATCCCTAAAATCTGGCAGATTCAGGAAACCCTGAAAATAAAAGTTTAGATAAAGAGTGGAGTGTATATACAGGATGGAGGAACTATATCATATTGGAGAGGATAAAATCAAAAAATGGAAGAAAATTTGGGATAGATAGAAGGACTATAAAACATCCAAGAGATATTTAGAACTGATTGGAGTGTAAAGGAAGGGTAGAGACAAGATAGGAATGATGGTTCTTTTAGTTTTTGGTAGGTAGTGAAGGAGAGTGGAGTGATGTAGAAAGATGTTAGGAGTAAAATAGAGAAACATGAAGAAAGAGGAAATAGTAGGAGGTGACTGGTTGGGGGGAGGGTAGGAGAGAGGGGGAGGGATTATGTAAAATTTGTTATGGAAATTGGGTGATTTTATCATTTGGAAAAGTGTTGTATTTATAATATAAAATGAATAAAATCTAAGAAAAAAAATAATGGGGTGAAAGCAATCCTACTACCTAAAGCATTTTTTTTCAGCTTTTTGTACACAACCAAGCTTGGCTGAAATGAATAGTTTATTGATATATGCCTGTTCTTCCATAATTTAGGGAGAAAGGCAGGCAATAGTCAATAGAGACATGAATTACTTTGTTTGGGGAACGGTCAAGCAACAACAACAATTTTGTATATAATCCCACAGCAATAGACTGCCTGTCCTTCCCCAAATCAGGACCATCCAAAAAAAGGTCAGAAATTGCTAAAAGGGGCATTGAAGGTGCTGCTACATGGATGTAGATATAGATTGCCTTGCTAATGTGACCCCTCCCTCCTCCTCTTTATTGTTCCCCTCCTCCACCCCCTCTTCCTTCTAGTTCTCCTTCCCTTCCTCCTTTATTTCTTCCTACCTCGTACTTCTATTTGATAATGGCAAGAGGAGAGACTCTCTTCTCTCATTTAGTTTTTCTCCATAAAGTCATCCCTGCCCTGGTCAATCAAACACTGGCTAGCATGCATACTGTAGCAAACTGGATACAAATAATGGCAGCTGGCAGTGGGACCAAATTGGAATTTGTGGTGTCACCACATTTGCATGAAGACTCATTTCAATCCCACTTGTTCCGCAGCCTTTTCCTGTTATTCTTTCTCCCGGTACAAGGAGAAAAGGGAAGACAGAAGCAACACAAATTCATCTTACAATCCTACATACAGTACATAGACTGCTCACCATTTGCTGTAGTGAAGCCTTAAAATTCAAAGCAGTTTTGCCAATACCCACCCCACCATCACTAATAACTTTCCCATGCCTGGTTTTTGCTGAAGCAGAAGAAAAAAAGTCTCAACTCTTCATATGCCCAGTGCCTGTATGCCACCTTCCATACCAGCGGGTGAAAACAACCCCCTTTCTCTAGTTCATGGCCTTGTGTCATGTATCTGGTTGTGGCCAAGCTGATGAGAGGGATTTCCCTTACATCTCCTGTCCTGTTTCTCCTGGAGGTGGTGACCAGATATAACAGGGCATGGAGAGGCATGGTTCCTTGTAGGAGATCCTGGCCGGAAGAACATTGCAGCAGGATTGGAGCCGTAGGCGGAATGGTGAGCTGGCTGATGCAAAGGCACAGCAGGTGCAGAACTGCAGGCATCAGGCAGTTTGTCAAGCAGGCAGATGTAGGAGGCACTGTAGCAGGCAGCAAGCAGGCTAGCAAGCAGGCAGATGCAGGATCTCAGGTGGTCAGGCAGGCAAGAGTTGGTATCAGCTGGGCAGCAATGGTGCAGAATCAGGAACCAAAACAGAGTCAGAGCCAGGCTGAGGTCCGTATCGGACGAGCAGAGAAGGTACCAAAACAGCAAGCAGAAGGCAGGGTCCGGTCACAAGCCAGAATCATCAACAAGGTATCAGGAACAAGCAGGGTTAAGACAAGCCGTGTAATATAGGATCAGGTCATAAATGGTAGAAGCTGACAACCACGCAGCAATCCTCTGGTGTCTGGAGCCACTTTAAATAGGCACATGAGCGCCAAGTAGTCACGCTTATACTAATGTGCGTGAGTTAGGGCACATCTAGTTATCACTCAAGAATTATGAGCGTGCACAGATCTTTGTGCATGACGTGCATGTAATTTCCCTGACAACTTGGCAATGAGACATTAACATTTTCCTACCCACCGTCACAATTTTTTTTTTTTAATTAAAACGTTTTAACATTGTTTTCCTCATAACTTGCCCATGTCCAGGTAAAGCAAACAAGGGCAGGGATGATAAGTCTGTAACTAGAACACTTGCAAACATTCCAATGGACTGCTAAGTGTCAAAGATGTACCACTATCTGGAGGTGGCCCAATATGCACTTAAGGTACTGACTGCTAGCCTGGCCTGATGCACTTATCTTGTCAGGAAGGGCCTTCAGAGCACCGAGGGGGGGTGTTTGTAATTGAGAGATGACATTTAATAAGACAAATCAGACATGGATCATCAAGGACTACCAACAAAAAGTACTGTTACTGATAAAATGATTACATTTATTTTACATATGTTTAACCAAGAAAAACATTTTGTGGGTATCCAGGGATTTGAAGAAGGCCGGGTGTGCAGTGTTATGGGTGCATAGTGTTTTTACATTTTATTGATCACATGATGCAAAAAGACAGTGCTGAAAAAGACTGTCAGCAACAACAGTTTAATGCTCTCTAATAAACACAAGTTAAACATTATAATCTA